TGTGGATCACCGGATCGGCTTTCACCGTGGACGAAGTGGAGTCCAGCCCGGGGTCGTCACGTGGTTGCCGCAAGTCCGCCGGCCGCGCCGTTCTCAAGCCCACCCGCCTCCACTCACTCTAGCCTGCCGTGTGTTTCGTTGTGAAAGCGAAACTACTTTGTTTGGTCTTCCTTTGTCATTTCTCCGATCACAAATGCAGACATGGTTTTATGTTTACGCGATGCAACGCGTAAAAAGACAGTATAAGTCATTATAATCCGTAATTATGTCCCCACTGGATGCAACAAATGCCTCGTTTATAATGGGTTTTAATGTTTTTGTCTCGTCGCTCTGGCCGGGACACGGCATCACAATATGGTAAGGGGCGTAACATTTCTGTCACACGCTTGAGGTATTCGGCCAATCACAATGCACTGGATAGCTGGCCAATCAGAGCACACCTCGCTTTTCAGAACGTAAAAATCAACGTGTTTCAGAAAGGCGGGGCATAAAGGAGAAACAATAATGTACAGTATGTGGAAAATAATGTTTTTTTAACCTTAAACCGCATAAACAAATTTCATTACACCAAATACACAAAATAATGTTCTTTTTAGCAACATCATATGACCCCTTTAATATAAATAATTCTGCAGGGTTCTTCTTTCTATAATTATAATACACTGTAATAAATAATAAAACAAACATGGCTGTTAAGTTCAGTTCCATCAGAAGTAATGGTAGTAGTAACCAGGACTTCTGGAGGTTTGTGGAAGTCAATTTACCGTCTCATCATTACAGATGGAGTGAATCTGAGTGCCGAACATGACAGCAGTGAAGGTGAGAAACAGCAGTGCTTCCAGACACAGGAAAATCAGCAGCATCACTGCCACAGGTGGGGAGAAATCACTACACTCTACAGAACAGAGGAGAACAACACGGATGAGATGATGCTGTCAAAACCAATGCTGGACATCAAATTCCCAAGTGCTTTGTATGAGTAAAAGAACAGTAGTACAGATTACAAAAAAAAAAAAACTTTTATTCTAGTTTTTAAAAAATTCTTTTATTCTAGTGGAAAGAAAATGAAAACAAACTATTAAAAATGTAAAATGATCAAATACATTCTTAGTGACACAATTTATTTATTTTTTTTAAGTACATACTGTAGATACTGTTTGTACACACAAATAAAAAGCCAATTAGAAAAAAAAAACAATATAGATTCTTAGTGACAAAGGATGTCAATTTGAAAAAATGTATACATTTTAAATATTAATTTGATAAAATCTATTATTAATTTAATTATGAATACATTTATTGTAAATATATAAGGAAAATAAAATGTCTAAACTGTAATATTATAGACAACATATATTAAGCCAAAATTATGACAAAGTGTTTTCTTGAGCTTAAAGTGGCTTATCAGAGCAAAAGAAGCCTACAATGACACAGCACGCTGAATGTCAAAGTCTTGCACTTGACTTCTTATGACATGATATCATCTGTCCTCCAGTAATGGATCGACAATCTCAAATGTCTATTACCCACCATTCCACTGGACTTTAATACAGGTGAAGAAGTGGAAACCGCTGAGACACAGCGCATGCAAAGAAATGGAGGCTATGTACATCTGAGAAGGAAAAAAAGCCAAATATTAATCAAAATTCAACACTTTCAATGTAAAATGCTTTTGATAAAATCCTCTAAATATTGTTGTACACTGATGCCTGAGACGTTTATCAGAGGAAAGGTCACTGATTAAGGACATTAAAGCAATACAGAGTATAAATGGAAACCTTATGTGGTCGCAGCTCATGCAAACAGATGTTAGAGCCGAAATCACCCATTTCATAATCATATTTTCTCTAAAACTAAGGCAAAAGAAGGTCAGCAATTCCACCATGAAAATATTGTAAAAGAAGAGACAGCAGTATCAGACACACTCACAGTGAAGAGGACAAAGAATCGCTGATTGTTCTCGCCCACACAGTTGTTGACCCAAGGACAGTGGTGATCCATCTTCCTGATGCATCTCTTACAGATACTACAACAAACAAAACAGGAGAAAAGACCATACCAGTTATAAAACAAGACGAGAAACGTCTAGAAGTCACTGATGCTTGGCCTTTAAATACAAATGACTTGATTTAAAGGGGATATGCAAGGCAAAATAGGATTTTTCTGGCTCTTTTGGAACTACTTCCTCCCTAGTCAACAATACACTACTAGATTTTTTAAAATGGAATATTTCTATTCATCAAGGAGGCATTCAATTAATCAGAAGTGACAGTACAGACATTTACAATGTTTCAAAAGACTTCTATTTTAATTAAATGCTGTTCTTTTGAACTTTCTATTCGTTAAACAATCCTAAAAAAATGATCACAGTTTCCCAACTGTTTTCAACACTGCTAATAATAGGAAATGTTTTTTTTCAGTAGCAAATCAGGATATTAGAATAATCATGTGACGACATCTGAAGACTGGAGTAATGATGCTGAAAATTCAGCTTTGCATCACAGAAATAAATTATATTTTAAAATATATTCAAATAGAAAAAAGTTACTTTAAATTGCAATCATATTTCATAATTATAAATGTATTTTTAATCAAATAAATGCAACCTTGGTGAGCATAAAAGAATTTTGGAATGGTAGCGTATATTCAAACTAAACTGCAAAAATGGCTTCTTCAGTTTAAGTTATGATGTCACAACCATGAACACATTAAAATATGACAAATCATGTTCACATATCAATGCCTATGTGGTATTCAGCAACTTGAAAGGGAGGATTTTATTCTTTCCAAATGTAAAAAGATCAGCCAATCATAACATAATCCTGTAAAAAGTGTCAAAAAGAGGGTGGAAAATTTACATAAATGTACTGTTTTTGGTGCTAGAAACCTAGCCTGACATTTTAAGACAGGAAAAATTCTACAAAAGTGTAGAATGTGACCATGTACAGATACAAATAATGAGTCATTTATCAGATGTTGGTCATGCCTGCAATGGTGTGCCCTCTCTGGTTTAATGCTGCAGCATTTTGGACACTTGTAGATGACCTCTCCTGGCTTCAGCTGCAGACTCTCCATGTATTCTTTAGTGGCGTTACCTTTGGGAACAGCTCCCTGATAAACACAGCACACCTCACATCAATAACACCCATCATAAAATGTTCATTACCGCATTTAATCAAAATAACAGTCCTCTCTTACCGGATCCGTCAGCATGGTTCGCAGGTGTGACGTCAGCGCCAGCACAGCCAGGAAGTTAAACGCCACACCGTTGATGAGAGAGTACCAGAAGCTTTTGGAGGGGAGCAACATGACAAAGTTTACCACGAATTCTGCGTACATAACCAGAAACCAGGTCATGAAGGCGCACACCATCCCGCAGCTGTCCTGGATGAACCAGATGCGGCTAGCCGCCACCTCTTCCTCTCCTCCGCTGAGCAGGGGCTGGTGTTGCTCCACATCCCTCAACCGGTGTCCTGAAGACTGCATTCTCACCTGCAAAGAGAGAGAGAGGGGTGAGCAGGACGAGCAAGACTCCCATTGGCTCACAATTCCAGCCAGACATAACTGATTCACATGCTTATTAATAATGTTACTGTATAGATAAAGAAGATGCATTGGAAAGCAATACAACATGTGCATGGCACTACAGTGAAAAAAATAGTGTAGAAACAATTTTGTCATTGCTAGTAAATCTCACAATTACAAATGGCAAGTTACATATAAAATCATTTTTAAGTAGAAGAACTGAAACGTTTTCTTGTAAAACATACTCCAATAATCTTAGTTTACAACTTAAAAAAAATTTTTTTTTTTACACTGTAGCAACACCAAGGCAATGGGTTTGATTCCCAGGGAATGGATGAGCTGATATAATTGATATCCTTCAATGCAATTTAAGTCACTTTTGATAAAAGCATCTGCCAAATGCATAAACATAAATGTCACTATTTACTACGGTGAGTATTGCATTTACTTCAGCTCATTTTGAGAGTTCGACGGTGCTACAGACATAAAATTATAACCTCAAATTGTGTCTTAAGGAAAGAGGAGTTATTACTTTTTCAAATGATTGAATGTACATTTTTATGACAAATTAAAAAATGGGTTCAAAAATCCCATCAACTTCTATTTAAGGAAAGCCATATATATATAGACCAGAATAGCGCAGTGACTTGAGGTGGGCTCTGACTTGAGTTGGTAAGCAATCCTATTTAATATTTTGAATTAGATTTATTATTGTATTTTCTTTTTCTTTTCAATTTAATTTAAGATAAAGTTTAAGTAAATTGTTTCAGTACATCAAGTTATACTGCTCTGGCAAAAAAAAATTAAAAAAAAAATATATATATATTTTATTTATTTTAAGCAACAAAAATGTTTTTTATGGTTTTAGTTTAAGTTAACTATAATAACCTTGTATCACAATTATTTCTGAAAGATCGTGTGACACTGAAGACTGGGGTAATGATGCTGAAAATTCAGCTTTGCATCAGGAATAAATTACATTTTAAAATATATTCAAATAAAATAACAAAACTGTTGTAATTATATTTCACAATTTTGCTGTATTTTTCATCAAATAATCACAGCCTTGGTGAGCAACAGAGACTTTTGAATAGAAGTACACTTTGAATCAAGCATGCACTTCTATCTAAATAATATAATAACCCACTAAATATTTTAAATTCCCATATCCAACCACTAGAAACAGACACAAATACAGTGAAAGTCCAAATCTAAGAAGCCTCATATTTTTGTAATTAAAATTTCAGTGTGTAAAAGGCTCGGGAGGGTGCCAGCTTCAAAACGAAGCTCTCTTATAATGCTGTGGTAACCATTTATTATCCTGGTATCACTGAAACTTCACTGGTGTCTTTAGTTAAAGAAACAAGGAAGACGTTTCCATCTTCAGCTTGGGCTGAAACTTAGCATCTCATTTACATAAAACACTTTTGAGATGCAAATCGCTTACAAAACAAAAGGCCAAACAGCCTAAAAGTAAGATGTGAATGGTCAGTGCCAAAAATGACAATGTAAACTCATTCCGAAGCAGAAAACAGACTTAAAAATATTGTGAGATTCTTTACAGTAGATGCTCACCTGCACATATTTGCTTTTCTGACAAACTGAAGTTTGTTACTTAGTGTGAGGGGTTTGTTCAAGCGATGCAAATGACTCACCACACAGAGCGTCCCTCACAATGACATCCTCTTGAACCCTGTTGGGTTTGAACTCAAAGGCATCCACAGTCTGGACCCTGTAGAGGACACACACAGAAACCGAGAATCATGGGATAAGTGATTATACCTACGGCAAGAAATGAAAGTGTGTCAGTAAGCGGGGCAATGCAGACAGAGCCTTATTTTCAGCCTTACACATAATTAGCCTTCATCTCTAATAATCGTTTAAATATATATATTTAAACAAGCTCTGTATTTTACAAAGTCAAATCTGCAACCTAAAATAACACACAGGCTCAACTATATGTCATGGTTTAATAGACTAATAGTCTATTTATATTTTCTAATAATGTCCCTAACTAATTCTGAACATTTCTTGCAAATAACTTTCTATGGCTATATTCATTTAAATGTTGTCTTGGTGAAGTCAAACATAATTACAATTTGTTTTGTTTAGTGACTTTTAACACTAGGTTACGCAATGTCTCGCACTTACAATTAGAAAAATACTGCATTTAACCAAGGGTCATGAAATATATGTTGCGCTTATACTGAATCCTTCTGTGTTAAATGAATATAGACAACACCAATGGTTGAGTAAATGGAAAATGAAGGTTTATATAAGAACAAACTTGTTATTGACTGAAAAAAAATCTTGACATTCATCCCAGATTTTGTGTTCCAAGGACAAAGTAATATAAGGGTGTGTAAATCATGACTTAATATTCATTTTCAGGTAAACTCTCCTTTTAAGTCCTTCCTAAGTAAAGCTACTTTGAAAAGATGCTTATTTAAGAGCCTATCATCTGATAAATAAACCTCAGTTTCAATTACCACCTCTTTGACAGATCAGATCAATAAAAACCCAAAGTTTCCCTCAGTCAGATGTGACTAACTAAATAAAAAACCTGCCCTGATATCAAAAGATTCGTGTTTGAAAGCCCAAAACAGTAATAAACGTTACAATATAAAAACAAAAACTCTCTCATTCACACACAAGCAACTGAAAGTGACACTGGCCTGTTACAAGGAAATGTGTTTTGGTTTGAGATATTTCAGGGGAGCTAAAAATAATAACAGGCACAAAATCAGCGTGTATACTGTGATTACTTGTTGTTATTTTGTAAACCTCCATAGCAACCATCATAACAACACACCTATATATTTGTTTATTTCTCTTTAAGATTAATCTCCCGTCACACCCTTCATCTAATTCATCGTTTGGTTATAATATTGTCAATCTGCCTTAATTATAACTAATATATTGGCAATAAACTCTTTAATTATTCTGACAGTCTCGTTATAAAGCAGTAAAACACATTTAAATCGGCTGATAAATCGCAGCCATACACACATCATCACGATTCACTTTCCTTATCGAAATGCTGAGCTTTTTCTTTCGCTTACCGCCTCCGAAATCAGATTTTATCCACCAGTTGTGATTCTCAGATGAGCGATGGGCAGATATAAATAGATCATTTCATTTCTCAAGCTGTTTAAAGGGTTTCATAGGTGAGAAATGATGAGGGTCACAGACACTTCCGGGGTCCAGTGCGATCATTTCTGCTGCTTCTGCTGTCTGATGAGTGACAGGCCTGAACACACGCCGCCTCGCCGCTGACCCCTACCGGCGAATCCGGAGCGCTGCAGCGCGCAGGGAGCCTCCTAATTTAATAAGGACCTCCAGGGAGGTTTCCGGTGCCCTCTGCTCACTTCCTGTCTCAGTGGCAATTCTACGATTTATTTATTTATTTTTTTAAAGAGAAGGGCCTCAAAGGGGACAAATGTGCAGAGGACCAAATTAATATAATGTGTTGTAACGTGGATTCAACACTTCATATATGTTACTTGCTTTGTAATTTAAGACAAGGTGACATTTTCAACTATATGAAATTCTGTAATACATTTAATACGATAGTCTGCCACTGGTTAACAATTAGTTAAAGGCTAATTATTATTTCAGCATTGCTTTTCATGGGACCAAATTGGTCAAAATGAGCAGCAATATAATATTGTTTGAATTATTCTGACCTAATTTGAATTCCAGTATATATATTTGACCTTTTTTGAAATCCATATACATAAATGTGTGTGTATATATACACACACACACACACACACACACACACACACACACACACAGTATCAAAGATCCATTGGTCAGAATCAAAATCCAAGCAGGCTAAAAGATTAAAAAAAAGTTAGAATTTTGATTACATAAGCAGTTTCAGTTACAAAGTAAACAAGCCAAATTACACTTTATATATCAATTTCAAATGCAACACTGTTGAACTTAACTGACATGTGTCGTGATTCGTGAAAACTGACATGTCAAATAAATAAGTTTAAAAAGACTTATAGACTGGAAATTGAGACAATTGTGCAAAATTGGGTGCTTTACAGTTATCAAAATGCTTTACAGTTATCAAAGCTTAATTGTAAAATATTATTTAAATTAAAAAAATGCATTTAAAATGCAAATGTACATTTATGCAGGAACATAAGCAATTTACGGCCAGAATTATTAGTAATTTACAAATATTGTCCCAAATGTAAGTTTTTGTGTGTTTGGTTCGGTTTTTTACTTTTTAAAGCATGTTTTTGGATATATACTTTTAATTAAATAAACTTTTGACATAGCATTCACATTTCGCCTCTAATCTGTACTTGTAACACTTGGTAATAGGCTTACTCACAAAGAGCTATGGGTGAATTGACTTGATTCACTACTCGGTGGCGCTACAGATCTCCATCTCATGCTCCTTCCCTTTGTTTGTCGAAGTGAAAAGTCACTGCATTGACAGAAATATATCCAAGCATACCCCATGTGTAATTTAAATAATGACTTCTCAGACTCATTCGAGTATCGAAGATCATCTTGAATCACAGTGAATCATAACCTCATCAAGATATCATGTAATGGTGATGGGTATGATTATGATGCTTCGTGATCTTTCCTCTTCATGTCCTTTATAGCCTCTTGGTGCTTTTAATGCTTCATCAGGCTTATCACTAGTGTCCTTCTATGAATATTTCCCTTAAACCGTTTCCTCTTCCACCCCTAAACTGTGTGGCCCAACAGTTATATAAATAAATAAAAGTCAACATCCACGCGCTGGCAGAAGCTAAAGCAGATTAAAGGCTGAAGCGTGCGAGCAGGACAGGAGCTCTCTCCGTTACCCAGACTGCACCTCTGCTCAGGAACACTCAGGCCGCGTCTGACAGCGTCTGTATGAGCAACAGCTGGGCTTAACACAACATCATCCTCAGTGCATTTCAAATCAGAGGAGAGCTCATCCAGCTCACAGACATGCACCTACTCAAACACACCCCATATATTAACAATATCACTCTGGGATTTATGCAAAAGTTTATCATGGTTCTATCAATAATCTTATGAAACCTGACCAGAACATCACTCAGACTAAAATCAAGTCCAGTCCAAATCATAATTCAGCCTAAAATCAAAAGAATGATTATTATATTATATTATATTATTATATTATATTTCACAGTCTTGTAACTGTAATGTAAATAATATTTTAATAATAAATAAACAATACTTCTAAGTTTAGATAGGCTATAAGTATTTATACATGGTAGTAGTAGTATGCCTTTAATTTATACTGCTTTATTAATAAATCATCATATGAAAGTAATTTCTATTGAAGCTATAAAACTCTCAAATAAAACATCCTTATTAGAATTTACAAAATTTACATAATTTATATTGTATACAAAGTATTTCTTTTGTAAAAATGTAAAACAAAAGAAAACAACAACAGTATTTTAATAATAATTAAACAATACTTATTTCAGAAGTATATGTACATGATGGTATTGTTGTACAGCCTCTAATTTATACAGATTTTGTTTTTAAAAAGTCGTCATATTAAAGTAATGTCTTTACAGTAATTACAATCTAAAACATTCTGAAATAAAACACACTTATTAGAACTTCTATTCTATTCTATACAAAATCTTGCTAATGTAATGTAAAAAATAACATTTTAATAAATGTTTAAAATGCTTATTTAAATAGTAAAGTATGATGGTCATGTTTGTTGTAAAGCCTTTAATTTATAACGATTTTAAATTATTTTTTTGTATTTTTAAATGATCATATTGAAGTAATTTCTTTAGAGGAGTAATTACAAACCTATAACTCTCAAATAAAACATTCTTATCAGAATTTGTATATTATATTATACTTATATACTTATATCTTGTTATAAATAAAACATCCATATTAGAATTGAAGTGATTGTTGTGAAAATAATGTTACAATCAAATATACAGTATAGGCTATGTTTGCATGTGTGTGTGTGTATTTGGATCCGATCAAAGGTCATTTCAGTTTTAAACGATAAAATCTTGTGAAGTGTGAAATTAACGGCACGTCATAATTCTCTTCATCTTGCTCTTTTGTTTCATGCTGCTTGTAGTATGCAAAGTGCATTGAAGTGATAATGATTTTGTCAGCTGGCCAAACTGAAGCAGCAGTGAGCAGTGAGTGCTTCGGCTCATAATGACTCAGATACAGCAAGCGTGGCAGGTGGCAGAGCTGTAACAGTCTGCGCAAAACATCTTTGACTAAACCTGAATTATTGAACATCCCACTAATGCCACAAGCCCCTCCGCATGAAAAACCTGGGTTTTAGAAGAACGAGTCAGAGCTAATTATTTTTTTTTAAAAGCCTTTTTTAAACCTCTCAAAAATGGCCTCAGTGGACAAAACTAATTCTCTGTGCACAGAACTGAACGTGCATGCAGAAACAAAAGTGCACAAGATTCAGGTCCAGCAGTTTTGCCCTGTTTTTTTCTTTCATGTAATGAGATGCTTGCCATTTTTGCTGTGAATAATTTGAGTGACAGTTCTTGAGTAATATGACACTTACATCATGTTTCCCTCTGAATTAATATTTCAGTTTTTGTTATGGTCTCTCAAACTACTAGGTTGAGTATGTACACTGTTTTTACAACCAAACATGGTTTAAGTTTTTATATTGTAAATCAGCAAACAGCAAAGATAATGTGTTTCAAACCAAAATTATGTTAACTGACAATTGACCAAACTCATTTTAGATTCATACTTATCATATCAAACATTAAAGGCTTTATAAATTTGTATTCAAATGTATGTATTTTGTATTTAATAAACCTTCATCTTATGGCCCACATGGCAGAGGCCTATATTTCCCACAATGCATTAATTTACCCCAAAGCAACTCTTCAAACAACAACATTAAAACATGAGGAAACACTGAGGAAAATCTATCTGTCATGACTAAATGAACACTTCCAGATGTGGATACGGGATATCATTGCTCTTGCTGACTTGAAGAATATTAAGATAAACACTTTTTCTGGAAACTTAAACATTTACAACGTGTTCTAACCTGACGCGATGCAACGCGACGAGAGACAGGACCGGATTGTCTTTATGACAATGATAGTATCAGGTACTGACTATGTGCTTTATTTATTGTTAAAACCGTATCTAATGTGACTTTAAATATCATTTTGCATAACCTTTATAGTTACACTGAAAGCAACAATGGATACTAGGCCTCAGATCGTTAATGAATGGAAACATGAACGGTGACTATGAACTCAGTGTGAACAACCAATGTATTCCGTTACAACGATTGCATCAGTCACTCAGTAACTGTTATATTTATTTATTTATTTTTATTTAAATAATGTTTAGCAGAGCCATAGAGAGATAGAGAGAGAGAGCTGCGACAACGGAAGTTCGAAATGCTCGATCGTCACGTGATTCACGTAGACCTCAAATAGTCCGAGGAAGTTCATAGCGGGCAATCAGTGTTGTTTTTAAAGGGGTCATATGATGCGATTTCAATTTTTCCTTTCTCTTTGTAGTGTTACAAGCTCTTGGTGCATAAAGAAGATCTGTAAAGTTGCAAAGACTAAAGTCTCAAATCCAAAGAGATATTCTTTATAAAAGTTCAGAGTCAGCCACACCTACCTAAAACGGCTCGTTCTAACACACCCCCACATGTCTACCTCACTATGTGGGAAGATTAATGTTCTTTTTAGCAGCAACATATGACCCCTTTAAAAGATAAAATCTGCTAATATTTGAGGATTAATGTGGTCAGCTATCTATATGTCTATATGATATGTGTGTGTGTGTGTGTTCTTACAACTTGTATGTAATCTTAATGTTCATTTTCGTTTTACTAATCTCATGGTAAATGTTAAGTTTGTTGTCTTAGAAAATTCATTCCAAATAAGTGAAGATATGTTAAGATTAAGTGAAAATGAATCTTGTTTAATGTTTTTGATTCTTGTGCACCCCTCAGTTATTAATATATAAAAATATATTTGTAGTATATTCAAATTTAAAACAACTTCAAACATTTTGCACCTTTAATCATATATTTTTATGTTGACTTTTGTTATGCTCTTATTTACAGCAATCGATTTATACATTTATAATAAACTATAAAGCATCTCTACGAGCAACTTCCGGGAAATATTGAGCGGCTCCACGACGGAGTTGTCGCAACTCTCTCTCGCAATTCAATTCAATTCAATTCAATTCTCTCTCTCTCTCTC